TCAGTTCTTAAGCACATCGTACCAGTTGATTATCTTAGTTTACAAGTTGCAAATGGACAGAAACTTCATGTAAGAGGAATAGGTTCACTTGAGGATGATAATAATAATTTGTCAGCTACGTTACATGTCCCAAGTCTATTTCCTAATTTGGTTTCCGTGGGGAAGCTTATTGATCATGGTTTACGTGTTGTCTTCGACTCTATGAGATGTTCTATTCAGGAAATGAAGAGCGGGAGGGAGGTCGGAAGGGGGAGTAAACGTGGACGTGTCTTTCACTTGGAGGAATTCTCGGGCCAATCAATTCCAGCCAACTCGGCTGTCTGGTCAGTGTCCAGGTCTTTCTTTACTCCTTCCGTGTTTTCTAGTGAGCGTGATCATACTATCGATCTTTGGCATGCTCTTTTGGGTCACCCAACTCTAATCGGCTTATGTTGATCTTTAAACAGAAATTATTGAGCAATAAAGAGATCGGCAATTTCTCCAAGTTAGCTTATACAAGTTGTGTCGAGGCTAAAGCTACTCCTAGCTCATTTTCCCTTAGCTCCACCGTCATTAGTGAACCCTTTCATATAATTTACACTGATTTATGGGGACCTAGCGCAACTATATCTCGTCATGGTTATAAATCAGACCTTCTTGCTATAGCCTCCGAATTTCTTACTATGATAAAAACTCAATTTGGTAAAACAATTCGAATTATTCGTTCCGATCCAGGTTGTGAGTTTAGCTCCACTCTGTTGTTATATTTGTATAGAAATCTTGGGATCGTTTGTCAAAAATCATGCCCTGGCATTTCGCAACAAAACGGCTTAGTCGAAAGAAAAAATCATCATGTGGTAGAACTCACTCATGCATTACTCCTAGCGTCTCATGTTCCTTCCCGTTTTTGGCCAGAAGCCATAAATACCACTGTTTGTTTGATCAACTATCAAATTACTCCCGTACTTGGTCAGCAAACATCCAGATTATTCTCGTCTGCGTGTTTTCTGATGCACGTGTTTTGTCTTTCTTCCACTTCGTGAACGTACAAAATTCTCCTCTAAAACAGCTTGTTGCGTCTTTCTTGGTTATAGTGACGTTCACACGGGATATCTTTGTTTCGATCCCAATCTTCAACGTATTCGTACAGCCTGTGATGTCATTTTTTTTGAACATCTCATGTTTTACTCCACTCCGTCGAAACCTCCTTTTTGTCACCCTTGGCCCGCCTTCCAGTGTTTGGCGATGATGATGATTTTGTTAATACTCCCCCCGACAACTAGGGATGGCAATGGGTCGGGTTTTGCCAAACTCAAAGTCGAACCCATAGGTTTATCAGCCAAAAAAACCCGGGGTAAAACCCAATGGATTTGGAAAGCTCAACCCAACCCGCTAGGTATCCGTGGGTTCATGGGTACCCATGGGTTTTTTGTGGTAAAAAATTTACAATGACAAGTTCCTATCAAAATAAAAGTCAAACATCAATTTCTCCATACAATTTTTTTTAATAAACAATTTATCTATAAAAACTATCCATACATAAACCACGAGTATAGAAAATTCAAAACAATCACAAATTATCCATACAAATTATAAATTGGATTGGGAAAATTAGAATTAGAATAGGGTTTGGAGAGAGTCGACGACGAAATAAGTGTGGGCGGGTACCCATGGGTTGGGTATCGCTAAACCCAAACCCAACCCGGTGAAAGTGTAACGGGTTTAAACCCGAACCCGGCCCGAAACCCATCAACACGGGTTTTACCCCCGTTGACCGAGTTGGGTTGGGTAGGGTACCCATGTGTTCGGGTTTTCTTGCCATCCCTACCAACGACACTCAGCTCCCTCCCAACTCCCCAGGTCCATCTTTACTAGCCAATGAAACCGCCACATCTACTTAGTCACCCGACAGCTTGTCCTTTTCCTCGACTTCGGATGCCTCACCTCCACCCGCTTCCATTGACATCCCTATTGTTCCACCTGGTCATCAACAACTAGTTCGTGCAACTCGTGGTCAGCCCCCAGCTAGATTTCAAGATTATTATACTTACAGTGGGGCTTCCATTTTGATCCCCAACAGGTACTCCCAAGCTAAAGGGGATCCCAAATGGTAGCAATCCATGGCCGAGGAAATTAAGTCTCTCCACGACAACGGCACTTGGATTCTTGTCCTTCGGCCGCCGTCCTCCACATTGGTTGTTGGTTGTCGTTGGGTTTACACCCTTAAAATGAAGCTGGACGATACCGTTGATCGATATAAAGCCCGATTCGTTGCTCAAGGATTTAGTCTGGAGTACGACATCGAATTTGAAGAGACTTTCGCTCCCGTTGCCAAGATGCAAACAGCATGTGCCCTGCTCGCTGTTGCATCTTCACGTGGTTGACCTCTTCTACAACTTGATGTCAAAAAACGCCTTCTTGCATGGCGATTTGAAGGAAGTCATTTACATGGAATTGCCTCCAGGATATGCTCATGGGTCTGCCGATCAAGTTTGTCTCCTCCAACATTCTCTCTATGGCCTCAAACAAGCTCCGCGGGCTTGGTTTGACAAGTTCCAAGCTACCAGTGTTGCACTTCGTTTTCGTCAAAGTCTTAATGACCCTTCCTTGTTTACACTTTGTACAACTCGTGGTATTGTTGCTTTATTACTCTACGTCAATGATATGGTTGTTACAGGAGACTATCCGGAGGGAATCGAGCACTTAACCTATGGAATCCATGTTGCGTTCAATTTGAAGGACCTTGGCGCATTTTCGTAATTCCTCGATCTAGAGGTTGATCGCTCTCCTCATGGTATACTACTTAGTCAAAGAAAATATGTTGATGACTTACTTGTTTCAGCACACCTTGATGATTGCCCACCCGTTACTACTCCCATGGAGGCCAACCTCAAACTCAGCAGGGATACAAGCACTCATTTGTCGAATGATTGTGGACGACAGTATCGAAGTATAGTGGGGAGTCTTATCTACCTCACGAATACAAGACTCGAAATTTCCGATTATGTTCAGATAATCCTACTAATGTACATCTTGATGTTGTTCACAGAATTCTTTGTTACCTCCAGGGAACTCTAGACATGGGTTTATTTCTCCCGTCCACAGGTAGTCAAGAGCTTCACGCCTTCTCCCACTCCGACTACGCTGGCTGTTTGGACACCCGGCGTTCAACCACTGGGTGGTGTTTACATTTTGGCAGCGCGTTCATTTCTTGGCGCTGAAAAAAGCAGGATAAAGTGTCAAAGTCGTCAACCGGAGCTGAATATCGTGCCATGTCGGACATGGCTTCTAAACTAGTATGGCTATCTCGACTGCTAGGTGATTTCGGCATCACATGTTCATTGCCTATGAATCTCTATGTTGATAATACTAGTGCGATTCAAATCTTTGTCAATCCCGTCCTTCATGATAGAACCAAACATATAGAGGTGCATATCAAATACATACGCGATCTTGTCCATGACGGTACCATTCATCTGCATTATTTTCCTTCTGAAGAGCAGATTGCAGACGTTCTCACGAAGTCTTTTATCTCTAGTCAACATTGGTATCTCGCGGGCAAATTGATGATGAGAGATTAATATATAAAAGCCTAGGTTTGACTTACTATTCATTAGTGGCTCTCACACTCCTCCAAGTGCAAGTGGGGGAGTTCCAAGCCCCTCTTTTACCTCACTCTCCATTTTACAACCTTTGTGTTTAGTTATTGTTCGCTAGGTTTTCATCTATGACTTTTTGCACAAATCATCGTCATTGTATTGTGTTATTGTTCGCTAGGTTTTCGTCTATGACTTTTTGCACAAATCATCGCATTTGTGTTTAGTTATTGTTCGCTAGCTTTTCGTATATGGATTTTTGCAAAAATCATCGCCTTTGCCCACCAGTTTGCAGCCCATCTCGAAATAATATCGGCAATATCCTAAGTTGTTCCCCACCACCGTTTCCCAAGACCACTACCACGAGTTTTGTATTGGGACCGAGTTTCATCCTCTTTCATGTTTTTTCTTTCTTTGTTTTTTGAGCATTAATATATAAAAGTCTAACATGTGAGTTACTATTCATTAGTGGCTCTCACACTCCTCCAAGTACAAGTGGGGAAGTTCCAAGCCCCTCTTTTACCTCAGTCTCCATTTTACAACCTTTGTGTTTAGTTATTGTTCGATAGGTTTTCGTCTATGGATTTTTGCACAAATCATCTTCTTAGTATTTTGTTATTGTTCGCTAGGTTTTCATCTATGACTTTCTGCACAAATCATCGCATTTGTGTTTAGTTATTGTTCGCTAGCTTTTCGTCTATGGATTTTTGCAAAAATCATCGCCTTTTCCCACCAGTTTGCAGCCCATCTCGAAATAATATCGCAAAATCCTAAGTTTTTTCCCACCACCGTTTCCCAAGACCGCTACCACGAGTTTTGTATTGGGACCGAGTTTCATCCTCTTTAATGTTTTTTCTTTCTTTTTTCCCTCTTTGTTGAGCATCATCACAATTGAACCAAACACATGGGTATTCTAACTTGAACACAAATCATCGTCTTTGCCCACCATTGTGCATCCTATCCCGAAAGGCAAAATACACTTGTATAGCCAAAACTTTCACGTTTTTGCCAATAATAGCCAATTTTGGAGAAATAATACTTATAGCCACCTCCGTCCAATTCTTTAACAATGTGAACTTACATGCTGACTGGACTGGCGGCTTTGATGAATTGGCGACATTTCATCAACTACACTGCCACGTAAATTAATGAAAAATAAATTTGATGAACACAAAAATAATAATTAAAAGAAAGACTATTTAATAAAACCTTCACTTGCAAAAAAAAATACCCAACAAATATCTCCACCCTCCGCAGCCGTCCCTATTTGCTCTGCTCCATCATCTTCAAAAACCCAAAATTGATTGGATGGAGTTATGGAGACAAGGATGTGGCCCAAGACCCTTCCCCTTCCTCCATCCAAATGAGTTCTCGTCGCACACCCATAAATCTAAATCCGATGACCAATAAATAAAAAATGGCGACTGCTGCAAATTAGATTGACGCTTCTTTGAACGATGGTAGCAGACCTGGAGACCTTACCTTCGACTCTCTACCTCCCTCGACTCCACCAGGTCCCCGTCCACCCCCAGCTTCCTGCACCAATTCGCGAAAACGACCCCGATCTTTCCCTCGCAAAGTCCAGATCTAGCTGTGCTATTGATCCTCGGCCTTCGTTGCTGGTCCATCGTCTCGTCACTGTGAAGGACGACTTTCAAGGTCGAGCTCCCCGATTCGGACGGATTGGAGGACAAGCATCAGGAGATCGAGTCCATCTCTTGCTCCGAAGAAACGCTTTCCACCTCCGACGAAGGGCAGGAGGCCCAGGCGGTGGAGTGCATAAGGGATATGAGACCGAAAATTGAATTAGGGTGATGCAGCGGCAGCTCCGGTAGAGCAAGACGTCGGTTTTGCAGGAGCGAGGAAGTTGGCGTTGTGAACTATGGCATCGCAGTGGAAGCAGAGGAAAGCGTCGTCGGTTTTGCAATAAACGTCTGGTGCTCCGACACAGAGCTCGCAGATCTTGGGCTGATCCTCAATTTATTTTTGTCTCGAATCGAAGAATTTAGAAACGGGAGGGGAAGAATGAGCGGTCAATTGGATGAAGGGGAAAAAATTAATGTTATTTTTTATTAATTTATGATGTGTAATTATTTAATAAACTTAAAATATGATGTGTCACTATTTGCTTATGTGGCGCTGACGTGTTCGCCGAGTTAGGAGCATAGTCAGCAAACCAACAAATAAGTTGACGGTGTTAATAACACCGTTAAAGTATCTAACGGAAATAGCTATATTTGTCATACAACAAGTTTAAAAGCTGACTATAAGTGGTATTTCTCCAAATTTGGCTATTATTGGCACAAACGCGAAAGTTTTGGCTATACAAGTGTATTATGCCATCTCGAAATACAGTCGACGGAATCCTAAGTTGTTCCCCACCATCGTTTCCCAAGGCCGCTTGGTGAAAATATGAGCAATCTTATCTTAAGTTTTCACATATTTCAGCGTCACTTCTTTTTGCTCCACACATTCTCTTAAGAAATGAAATCTCGTATCAATATGCTTACTGAAATCATGGAACACCGGTTCTTTGCTAACGCCAGGGTAGACTTATTATCAACATAAATTTCAGTTGACTCTTCATGTGTCATGTTCAACTCCTTCAGTAACTTAATTTCTCAGCCATATCGCATGACAAGCACACGATGTAGCAGCAACATACTGAGCTTCACAAGTAGATAATGTCACAATAGCTTGCTTCTTTGAACTCCATGTGAAAGCTGTATCTCTCAGAAAAAACACAAATCCTGTAGTGCTCTTGCGATCATCCACGCCTCCTGCCCAATCACTATCACAGTATCCAACCAATTTGAAATTTTCTGACTTAGTATAGAACAAACCATGATCGATTCTACCTTTTATGTAGCGCAGTATCCTCTTGGCAACATTCCATTGTGACATAGTTGGCGCCTCCATGTATCTGCTGACTAATCCAACTAAGTAGAGAATATCTGGTCTTGTACAAGTCAGGTATCTCAGACTTCCCACGAGACTTCTAAACTCCGTTGAATTAACCCTCTCTCCTTTGTCATCCTTTGATAATTTCAGTCCACACTCCGTTGGTGTGCTCACAGGATTACAGTTCTCCATCTTAAACTTCTTCAAGGCCTCCTTTGCGAAGCCACTCTGTGAGATAAAAATTCCTTCCTCCTTTTGAGTTGCTTCAATACCGAGATAATATGACAACAGTCCAATGTCTGTCATCTCAAATTCATGAACCATCGTCTTCTTGAACTCTTCAAACATTTTAGGATTTTGTGAAGACAAGATCATCTTAAACTTCTTCAGACCATACAATGCCTTCTTCAGCTTCAACACCTTGTCTTCTTGGTCTTCAACGATGTATCCAGGAGGTTGCTCCACATAGATATCTTCCTCGAGATATCCATTCAGAAAAGCTGACTTTACATCCATCTTATGTATCTTCCATCCATTTTGAGTAGCGAGAGATATCACCATTCTGATTCTCTCCATTCTCGCTACGGGAGCAAAAACTTCATTATAGTCAATGCCTGGTCTCTAACTATACCCTTTTGCCACCAATCTTGCTTTGTTTCTAATGACTTCTCCTTTAGCATTTTTCTTTGCCTTGAACACCCACTTGACACCAATTGGCTTCTGGTTATCAGGAAGTGACACAAGCTCCCAAGTCTTGTTTTTCTCAATTGCTCCAATGTCTTCGTCCATGGCTCTTCTCCATTTTTCATCCTTCATGGCTTCTTCAGCATCCAATGGTTCACTATCAATGAAATGACAGTAGAGTGTCAATTCATCACCTTCATTGGTTGTTGTTTCCACATAAATTTCTTCAAGTCTCCTATACTTTTGTGACCTTTCTCGGGGACTTTCACTAGATTCTCCTTCTGGGCTAGCAGGCTCTCTATAACTGGGTGGACTTGCATAGGTGTAGCTATGTCTGGTTCATTATCACTTTCATCCATAGTGAATAGATAAAAAGTATAACTCTTCTTTGCTTCAGTAGTCCAGTCCCATGTTGCTTCTTCATCAACTACTACGTCTCTACTAATGATCAGCTTCTCTTCCACGGGATCAAACATCTTGTAACCTTATGAGTGTTCTGAGTATCCCAGGAATATGTACTTCTTGCTTTTGTCATCCAACTTCTTTCTTCCTTGATCCGGTACATGCACATATCCGACACTTCCGAAGACTCGGAGGTGAGAGACTGTGGGTTTCCTTCCGCTCCATGCTTCTTGGGGTGTTTGATTCCAAACACTCTTTGTTGGTGACCTGTTCAGCAAGTAGACTACACAATCAACAGCTTCAGCCCATAGCTCCTTTGGCAGGTTCTTGCTCTTCATCATGCTTCTCGCCATGTTGAGTACAGTTCGATTCTTCCTTTCAACAACTCCATTTTGCTGTGGTGATCTAGGGACTGTGAGAAACCTGCGAATTCCTTGATATTAATAGAACCTTCTGAATTTCTTGAGCATAAATTCTCCCCCTCTATCTAATCTCATGGCTTTGATGTAGCGCCCACTTTCATTCTCCACGAGCATCTTGAACTTCATGAAAGCTTCAAATGTGTCTGACTTCTGCTTCAAGAAGTATACCCATGTCTTTCTACTGTAGTGATCAATGAACAGTAGAAAATATTTGTTTTTCCGAACGATGTTGGGGTGTTCGGTCCACAAAGATCTGCATGTACAAGCTCAAGCAGTGCTTTAGCTCTTGACAGGGACTCCTTTGGAAAACTTGCCCTGAATTGCTTCCCAACTAAGTATCCTTCACACAATTGGTCTGGATGATTGATCACTGGTAGACCATGAACCATCTCCTTCCGACCGAGAAATTTTAGACCTCCAAAATTTAGATGGCCATACCTCAGATGCCACAGCCATGTATTGTCCTTCGCACGCGCTTTCAAGCACTTTGCCATTTCAGTCTGAATGTTCAAGGTGAACATTCTATTTCTTGACATTGGAACTCTTGCCAACAACTGCTTCTTCTCATTTAACAACTCCAGTTGACGATTCACCATGTGGACTTCATAATTTTTCTCCATCATCTGACCCAAACTCAGGATGTTACTAGTCATGTCCGGGACATAGTACAAATCACTGATAAATTGCTGTGAGCCATTCTTCAACCGGATGAGTATTGTTCCTCTCCCTTTTATCGGAACCTTTGAGGAATCTCCAAATACGACACTTCCTTTCACCGATTCATCAATATCCACGAACATGTTTCTTTTTCCACACATGTGGTTGCTTGCTGCATTATCCATATACCACATGTTGTCTTTCGGTTTTTCATCTCCTTGATGTGACAGCATCAATGTGCCTTTGACTTCTTCTTCTTGCACATTGTTTGTCGTCTCCTCCACTTCTTTAGGCGGACTCCAACATTCTGATGCATAATGCCCGTACTTTGAGCAATTATAGCATTGGACGTTAGATTTATCACAACCTTCGTTTGATCTCCAATTTCCTCTTGCACGTCCACGACCACGACCTCTGCCTCTGATGGACGTTTCATAATTGTTCGTGCTACATTTCCTCCATCTCTACTTTGATATGCTCCTCGGGCTCTTCCTCTTCCTCTTCCTGTAATTGTCTCTGCCTCGACCTCTGTACTAACCTCCTCCTCGTGCACCTCTTTTCTCAGTGGTAGCTTTTGTAGCTAACACTTGTTCTGACGATTCTTCATTTCTTTTATTTAATCTTTCCTCCCGTGCTTGCAATGAGCCGATAACTTCATCCACTGTCATCTTTGACACATCTTTTGCTTCCTCCATCGCCACCACCACATAATCGAACTTCGGTAATAATGACAGTAGAATTTTCTCCACTACTTTGGTCTCTTCAATTTTCTCCCCGTATTGCTTCAATTTGCTGGCGATAGACTTCACACGGGCGGTGTAATCTGAAACAGATTCACCTTCCTTCATTTTCATGGCTTCAAAATCTCCTCTGAGTGTCTGAAGTCGAACCTTTTTTACTGGTTCCACGCTTTGCATTTCCTTTTGCAGAATCTCTCATGCTTCCTTAGCTGTGGTAGCATCTGTTATTTGATCAAACATTGATTCATCAAGACATTGATGAATTAGAGTGAGTGCCTTTTGATCACTCTTTCTATTTTTTCTCAATACCTCCTTTTCAGCAGGAGATAACCGAGAATCCTCCGTGGGAATCTCGTAACCTTTCTCAACAATATCCCAAGCATCTTGGCATCCCAGCAATGCTTTCATATGAATGCACCAATTTTTATAATTGGTTTTGGTGAGGTGGGGGGATTGAATGGGGAAACTTGATTTTTTGGACATGCGACAATCGTGATAAAAAAACACGAGAAATTCTTTTATGATGTGGAAGTTCAGACTACGCTGCAACCACAGAGCATACTCAAGAATAACTCGGGCTCTGATACCACTTTGTTAGAAATAAATTAATTATTTCCTTTAGATTATTTGGTGGGCACGTTTGGGAAGGGAAGCTATAATTGGTGGGAAATAGGACAAGAAAACTTGGTAGAGAGAATTTTGAAGAGAGACTCTTTCTTTCTATTTTGCTTCTGCTTGGCTCTGCTTCCATACGGCTACAAAGTAGGGTATTTATAACCCTCCAAATTACAAAATATCCATCTCCTCCGCCTTAAGTGTATGACTTGATCCTCCGTGTATACATTGTTGTATACTGGCACGAAAACGATCCCAGGGTTGGACTCCTCCATTGCGGCCATAAGTCTAGGGAGAAAAGCATACGAATCCTCCCAATCACCATACACCTCAGCCATGGCTTTCTGCTTTCCATGCCATGCTTTTTTGTACCTTATTATGTAAGAATGTCGATCCTTCACCTCGGCCATGTTAGCTTTGACCTTGATATTTGGTTGTGCTTCGATAAGGTGCTTAAACCTTCTTCCAACTTTCTTTGCTTTAAGTTGCAGGTGATCCTGGGAAAGTATGGACGAGGAGCAAGT